AACAAGGTCAATTCCGAAGACAACCATCACACCGAGTGTGCCTAGAATTGCTTGCTATGCATTTCCCATTTTGTCATATCGATTATTACAGAGACGTACTCAAGCATCAGGATTTAATAAAACTGGTAATTTTGTGCTTCAGCAAGGACATTCTAGAGTGGAACGGGCACTGGTTTACTGTGTGTGAAGGTGAAGAAGAGAACTACCACCATGACACTTTGATGCTTTCATTCACACCAAAGTGCCTGAAGTTTCATCCACCATTGCTTTTGCACTAACAATACAAAAGCCCTATAGTGAGAGGCAAGTAACATCCTACAGTAATTATGAAAGCAGTTGTGATTGGCCAGGCTCCCTGAAAAGGTCTCAGGGACCCCTCAGGTCTCACACTCTGAGAGCCACAGATCGAATTGATTAGTCGCCTTTTCTGTATCTAAATTCTCTATTCAATATTGTCTCTTATTATTTTTTCTTTCTTTCTTTCTTTCTTTCTTTCTTTCTTTCTTTCTTTCTTTCTTTCTTTCTTTCTTTCTTTCTTTCTTTCTTGAGCAGGTAAGGGACAAAGGGAGAGAGAGAAAGAGAGAGAAAGAGAGAATCTTAAGCAGGCTCCATGCTCCACATGGGTCTCCACTTGGGGTTTGATCCCACAACAGTGAGATCATGACCTGAGCAGAAATCAAGACTCAGATGCTTAACTGACTGAGCCACCCAGGCACTCCTCTTTTGATTAATTTTTAAGCATGCTTATGGATCTCCCATATTGAAAAAAGAAACACCAAAATAAATTTCCCCTCAATCCCAAATAATTCACTAAAGACCATCAAATCTGTTTTCCTCATTACAGCCAAATATCTGTAAAGAATCATTACCATTTATTGTCTGCTTTTTTTCATGTTGCATCATTGGCACCCATTGAAATCTAGTTTCTGTCCCTCTATCTTCTTGTAAATTGCTGTCTTCACATTCCCAGGGCCTTCCCTGGTATGTGACTTTAGGGGACATGCTCCAGTCCTTACCTTCCTTGACCTTCTTACCTCTGACCTTGCTGACCACTTGTCTGTCTACTATGTGCTGGGCATTGTGCTAAGTGCGTTACCCAAGATAGCTCGTTTAATCTATGTGGCAACCTGACGGTGTAGCAATGATTATTAATGCAGATCACAAAGAACAGTGCAGGTCCCAGATGGGGTCTTTGTGACCTCAAAACCACAGATCTTAACACCACAATATGCTCCCTTGTTGAAACACCTGCTTTCCTTTCCCACAACATCACTCTTCAGGTTTGTTTTCTTACCTCTCTGGCTGCTTTCTTTCAGTCTTATTTGTGTGAACAAAATGCTTTTCTCATGATCTTGCTTTGCTCAAGATTGAGAGTCCCGGGGGGCACCTGGGTGGCTCAGTTGGTTAAGTGTCTGACTTGGACTCAGGTCATGATCCATGGTTCATGGATTCGAGCCCTGCATTGGGCTCTGCACTGATAGTGCAGAGTCTACTTGGGATTCTCTCTCTCTCTCAAAAATAAATAAATAAAAACTAAAAAAAAAAAAAAAAATCCAGAATCCCAGCAGAGCTCATAGAAGTGGCCATGATGAAGTCATGTGCCCTCTTACCCCCCAGCTTTGCCATGCTGGAGAGTGCCCTTTGTCTGGAAGGTGCCCCTCAGCTTGTACCGAAGTGCACTCTCAAGCCAGACTGGGGAAAATAGGCATAGGAATTAGACGCTGGGCTGCCTGGAATTGACTGGTGGCCCCTACAATCAGTTCTTCTCTTCCCACTTCTCACAGACTCCTACTCATATTTCAGGACTCAACTTCAATACTACTCCTTCCAGGAAGCCTTCCTGACTTCCAGGTCTGGATTGGCTTGTGCCCCTCAGGACTCTGAGCTTCCCCGCTCCTGGTAATTTTCATGGCAGGTTGCCGTGGCTGATTTCAATGTCTTCACTACCCTACCAGTTCTGCGAAAGCGAGACTGTTTCTGCTTTTCACGTTGCATCCCCAGAATCTAGCACGAGGCCTGGCACGTAGCTGTCTCTCAGCATTGATGCATAAACACACATGCGGGGTTTGAAGAACTAATGGGATACTCCCAAGGCCACATGTATGTGGACATGGTTAATGGGGAAAGGTGCTCACAAGAGGAATCAACAGGTTTTAGAAATATTTCAGATAAATAGGGTTTGAAGTTGTTGGAATGGATGAGAAACTATCCTCTATGATAAGACAGAATAAAAAAGTGCTGAGTACAGTGCTCTGGGGAATGGGGATTTAAGAGTCAATGAAGAACCCTCAAATAGATGAGTTAGAGATGTAACATGTGGGGGAACGATGGAAAACAAAAAGGAGAGAATTTCATGGAACAGGGATACCCTGGCATACAGCTCTTGCAGAAAAATCAATGCAAATAAAGACCAAAGAAATTCTGTGCAATTTTGCAAGTATGAAACCATTCGGAGGCCTTTGAAAGAACTGTTTCAATGGAATAATGTGGATAAAAATGGGAGAATGGGAAGAAAGAAGACACTGAAGAAGGGGATGCTGAGAGTGGAGGCATGTAGATCAGTGGTTCTAAGGGTATGACTTCAGGTTCATCTACGTAGGCGTAACAATTACAGCCCTGGGTACCATTCCCAAGCTTTTCTTGTTCAGTAGATGTTCAACAGGGCTTGGACTTCTCTAATTTTAAAAAACGTTGTGGGTGGGGCACCTGGGTGGCTTAGTCAGTTAAGCATCCGACTTTCGCTTAGGTCATGATCTCGCGGTTCGTGGGTTCGAGCCCCGCGTCGGGCTCTGTGCTGACTGCCAGCTCAGAGCCTGGAGCCTGTTTCGGAGTCTGTGACTCCCTCTCTCTCTGACCCTCCCCTGCTCATGCTGTCTCTCTCTCTCTCCTAGAAATAAATAAAACATTAAAAAAAAAAAGCGTTGTGGGTGATTCAACCTTTGCCTGGAAATCATTAGTGTATATCCATTTCTTCATTAGCTTGGCTCATGCAGGAAGATGAGGAAACCAGGTCAGTGTTATGGATCGAATATCCTCTCCAAAATGTACATGTTGAAGCCGTAAGCCCCCGATGTGACAGTATTTGGAGGTAAGGCCTTTAAAGAGGCAGTTCAATTTAAATGAGGTAATAGGGATGCGGCCCTAATTCGCTAGGACTCAGTGTCCTAATTAGAAGAGGAAGAGACACCACAGATCCCGCTCTGTGTATGGTGCAGAGGAAAGATGATGCGAGGACACAGTGAGAAGGCAGCATTTCCAAGCCAGAAACCAACAGTCAACACCTCGATCTTGGCCTTCCAGCCCCCGGGAATGAAACATCTGTTGTGTGAGCCTCCCAGCTGCAGTATTTTGTTAAGGCAGCTCTAGCTGACTAATATATAAGGTAGAGGACTTCGTTTCTAGGACACTGGAAATCCAAATGAGAAGGCGAGAATGAGCCAATGGCAATGAATAGGAAAAACCTGGAATTACTGAAATGCAAAGCCCAGCTGAGAAAGGCAGAATCTCGAAAATGTGAGGACTGAGATTAGAGAGAAGGTCAGCCTTGGAGAGAACCACATTATAACCTATCCATGTATTTCTCCACTGATCTTCCAAATGCATCTGTGAGATGGGGAGATGAGGAAAGCCAGCCTTGTAAGGGTCCCGTTTGTACAGCCGTGAAGTGAAAGACCCAGGACAAGGCTGTGTATCTTTTTCTAACGAGTTCTTCTGTAGAACATTTCCCAAATTTCTATCATTTTAATCCACCTTCATCATTTTTGCCATATCTAAATCGACTCCTTACTGTTATCACTCTCTCTCTCTTTATATCTATCATCTATCTATCTACCTATCTATATTACTTAAATACATACATATAATATATATATCTAATATATATATAAAGTCAATTCAGATTTTTACATAGCATCAGTCTATGCAATAATATAACTGGTTTGACATGCTAGATTTTTTATAATCATATTAGGTTTAGTAAGTAATTTCAGAGAAGTCCATTCTGTATACACCTTGTGTACCATCCGTGTGTGCAAGCTGCCTCCACGTGAAGAATGGCACCCTTTTGAGAAAGGAGAGAAGGAAGAGAGGAAATGCCTTCTGGCAGAGGGAAATGCCTTAGATCAAGAGGGAATGAGGAAAGGGAGGAAAATGAAGATTTGTGTGTACCTCATTTGAAGGGTAAAAAAATGGTTAGTCCTTCAGGCTACCACAGATCAAGGAGTATTTGATAGCGCAGCACAGAAATCATTACAGAATTAATTACTTTAGAATGAGGGGATTTGCATTTTTCAACTGATAGGGTTTTGCCATCCATTGGTACCTCTTTTGCAGATCCGAGTATGATGAAAATGGCGGTAGTGCTGTTCTCAGTCCCAGGCAATGGAGCCCTGCTGGGGGCTGTGCTTTGGAAGGCTCTACCCCGACTCTGGGGGCACAGAGCCCCCGGCCACATCAGAGCCTCTCCAGATCACATACCATGCCCATAACTGGGATTCTGGAGTTCTCGGCTCTCAGGGCTTGGGCCAGCCTCTTTTGCATCCCTCTCTCTACCTGGACTGCACAGCTGATGTGTGTAAACTTTGGGATGGCAAAGAAAAACTGTTAGCAGAGGCATGTGTATGTAGCAGAGGAATCTGGGCTGGGGTGTCCATAATTATGCGTGCAAGGCTCTGCATGGTGTAGCATGGAGCTGAGACTGGGAAGAGAAGGGAGGGACCTAGTCATGTAAACATTAGGAATGGACTTGATGACCCCGGAGCCAGAAGACGGAGCGAGAGGGAGAGAGCATTCTCAGCAAATGCTGAAGTGTCAGGTCAAAGGGAGCATGTGCAGCACGTCCTGTCATTTGCGCATAATTCGTCAATTCCTGGCAGGAATAGAATTGGCTGGAGCTGTCCAAGTATATGTAGATTCTAGATGTCACCGCAGTAACCATTGTGATGCAGACCTAGTTGCAACATAACCTCGGATGTGGGAGGACAGTAAAGTCATGGAAACAAGATGACAAAACAGATGAACACAGAAAACCATTCCTGACCTGCATTTGGCTGAGACCTTCCCCAATTCTTTAGAAAAAAGGAAATGGAAGGTTGTGTAGAAACTACCCTGACTACTGTTCTTTTGGATTCATTCAGATACATATGCATTGAACAAAATATCTTTCAGGTATTTATGCGAGGCACCAGGGTATGCAAAATAGTGCGAAAATCCATTCCTGAGGAGATCATGTAGGAGAAGCGATTTCGGGTGGAAAAGAATTAAGATGGAGAAGATGTGGAGTGATTTATTGAGGAAGTGTGCTAGGGAGGGCACCTGAGATACGTAATAAGGTGTTGGTCCGCTAAGAGTACATTTGGAGTACATTTGGACTTTGCATGTTTTTTTCTTTTTTCTTTTAATGTTTTTTTAAAAATTTATTTCTTAGAGAGAGAGAGAGAGACAGCATCAGCAGGGGAGGGTCAGAGAGAGAGGGAGTCACAGACTGAAACAGGTTCCAGTCTCCGAGCTGGCAGTCAGCACAGAGCCCGACGTGGGGCTCGAACCCACGAAACGTGAGATCATGACCTGAGCCAAAGTTGGACGCTTAACCAATTGAGCCATCCAGGGGCCCCATACGTTGCGTGCTTTTGTAGGGAGATTGGCCGCATTATATAATTTTGTTTAGCAGTGCTCTGCAGTCAGGAAGAGGGATAGGAAAACTGAAAGAGAGGGTTATGTCACGCTTGGTGCAGTGGTCACTTTGAAAAACAATCCAGTGTTTGGTAGAGCAACATCAAAGTGACTTGCCGTGTCACCTGGGCCGATTGTCATCATGATGACATCACTAACATTTTTTTTTTCCTGGCTCTTACTGTATGCCAGTTTCTGTTCTTACGTCTTCCCATACATCATGTCTGGTGTAGTTGTGACTGGTGTATTTAAGCAGCAGTCATGTGACCACCAGAGGGTTAGCAAGCTGGAGAAGATGGAAAGGCAAAGTGATTCCAGAGCTTGGTGAAGGTTCTAGAAATTCATGTTCAATTGCTTCAGCTTACACTGGAGATGGATGGAATTTCAGTATGAAGAATTAAACTTTAAAGATTTAACAATTCCAGAACAGAAACCTGACATAGAGTATTGTAATCTTCCCTGAAGCTCATTAAAAGACTGGATATATTATTTTGGCTGTTTTGGAACATTTGAGGCATGGTCTTATTTGGAAGCAGAGTGATAAATCAGATGATCACCCCCAAATCCCTTCCTATCTTTAAGGATGTGACTTTAAGCTTGGTATTTTTGTTTTGTTTTGGTTTAGATTTCTACTCACAGAAAAAAAAAAGGGGGGGGATTTAAACTCATTATTTAGAATTGAGAAGATAGATTTTCAGACAAAATAATTTGGCTGCCTGGACTGTGTTTGAGGGCTGTGGCTGTCTGTGACAGTATTTCCCTTACTAGGTGAAAAAAAATTTCAATCCAGATTGGGTTCATCTTTCATTTGGTTAAGGTTCGGTAGCAGGGCCATATGAGGAAAGCAATTTGCCATCATGTCCAGAAGATCTTAATTGGCATTTGTAGTAACTAACTTTTAGACTTATGTTTAGAGACATCTGGAAAAGGATACACAGATTTTAGCCCACCTGGCTTGCTTGCCCGTTTGTGGGTATAGACGAATCTTAATTCCAATATCGCCAAAGTTGGTGGGCCATGTAGGCAGAATCTTCTGTGAAACTGATTTTTCATGCACAGCGAAACTCACTTTCAATTACTGAAATCAATTTTTTCCAATGCCTCAAAGCAGCGACCATTGTGAGGCTTTTGAAAGCAATTTTTCATTTTATTTCTCTGCAGACCGACACGTCACCCTGTTTGCTTTGTAACAGAAGAGCTGATTTGAAGCAGCTTGCTGCTCTGGCTAGCTCTCTCAGCTTCGTGTGCCCTCGATCCTGTGATCTCCTATACTGTTCGGTGCCATGTGGTAGAACCCCAAGATGGCTTTCTAAATAGGGGACGTTCACCCCAGTGGTCAGAACTGAGTGCATCTGTGATCTAACTGCAGAGGTCATGTCCCCAACATTGGTACTCACTTGATTGTTCTGATTCCTTTGTCAGTTTGATTACTTGGAAGATTATAAGATTGAGCAAATGGATTTAAAAGCATTTTCATTTTTCACCTATGTAGGTCGCTTACTCAAAATCTTATTTTCCCGTTTGAATCGTTTTCTAATATGTTATACCTAATTTCTTGTCTCTAAGAAAATATGTTGTTTTCTCCTAGTGGTGAGTAGTAAGTTTACTGCATTTCTCAGAATAAAGCATTCATCACTGATAGCCTGTACTCATCTCCCCAGTCTCTCTAGCTGGAATATTAGCTTGTAAGAAAAGATTGTGTGTGTGTGTGTGTGTGTGTGTGTGTGTGTGATATAAAAGGAAAGCTTATTGTGCTATATAGATTGTTTCCAAACAACACATTGTGCCTTGCAAATGGTAGTTTTAAAGTACTTTGGATTCCTAAATTTATTGCCATTTACAATTCATAGGTTGTAGCTGGGCTGTTAATACTGGAACTTCAGTTACAGCCTCAAGTTTGAACCCTGCTGAAACCGCGTCCTGGAGCCTACAAAAGGGTATGAAAATACTCAGAAGAATATTTCCTTTTTAAAAATTTTTTTAATGTTTATTTATTATTCTTATTTTTGTAATCTTTTATTTATTTCTGAGAGAGAGAGAGGCAGCGTGAGCAGGGGAGGGTCAGAGAGAGAGGGGGACACAGAATCTGAAACAGGCTCCAGGCTCTGAGCTGTTAGCACAAGGCCCGTTGCGGGCTTCAAACCCATGAATCATGAGGGGCGCCTGGGTGGCTTAGTCGGTTAAGTGTCCGACTTTCGCTTAGGTCATGATCTCGCGGTTTGTGCGTTCGAGCCCCGCGTCGGGCTCTGTGCTGACTGCCAGCTCAGAGCCTGGACCCTGCTTCAGATTCTGTGTCTCCCTCTCTCTCTGACCCTCCCCTGCTCGCGCTGTCTCTCTCTCCTAGAAATAAATAAAACATTAAAAAAAATTTTTTTAAACCCATGAATCATGAGATCATGACCTGAGCTGAAGTTGGACGCTCAACCGACTAAGCCACCCAGGCGCCCCTATTTAGTATTTTTGAGAGAGAGATAGAGTGTGAGCAGGAGAGGAGCAGAGAGAGAGGGAGACACAGAATCTGAAGCAGGCTCCAGGTTCTGAGCTGTCAGCACAGAGCCCGATGCAGGGCTCGAACTCACCAACTGCGAGATCATGACCTGAGCTGAAGTCAGATGTTTAACCGACTGAGCCATGCAGGACCCCCCCACCCCCCTGCTTCTGAAAATTATTTCATGGCCAGCATGGAGTGGAGTAGAGAGTTGGTGGGAAAAGGGTAGTTGGGAGGGGAGGTCCAGAAAGAGTGCCTCCCTGACCACAGGCTTATGCAGATGATGGCCTTGTTTCCTTGTTCGCATAATATCCAGGAGATGTGCTGTGTGGTCAACAGTTCTCCACAACTGCTCTCTGGGGTCTCAGAGAGGGTCCCCTGAGACAAATTTCTTGGACACATCTCATGTGCTTGGCACTGTGCCTGAGACCCCTAATGTCTGGTGTGAACTCTAGTGATAGACTAATGGCTAAAAGTTGTTTTGTATTTTGATATTTTCCGCCATTCGGTTTTTAAAACGCTTGCATTTTGAAAAACATTACTATTACCTGGATATACCAACTTTGTTGTTATAAATTAGGGCTGAGTTTTAGATTTTGTTTTGGGCTCCAGGCCTAAAAAACTTTATTTAGGCCTATAGTATATAAGGAATCATGGCTCAGACCTATAGACTCATTGGAATTCAAATGTCATCGACTCCTATTTCCTCACTTTCAGAAGATGAACCAGAATCCTAGAGAGACTTGTTGATAAACGTAGAGAGCTGGATTTTTATTGATTAATTAATTTTAATTAACTGATTAATTAAAGTTTATTTATTTATTTTGAGAGAGACAGAGACAGTGCAAGTGGGGGAAGGGCAGAGAGAGAGAAGGAGACAAAGAAAGCCAAACAGGCTCCACGCTGTCAGTGTTGAGCTTGAAGTGGGACTTGAATCTACAAAACTGTGAGATGGTAACCTGAGTCGAAACCAAGAGTCATACTTAAGTGACTGAGCCAGTCAGACACCTCTATTTATCAATTTTTTTTTAAAAAGTTTATTTATTTGTTTTGAGAGAGAGAGAGAGAAAGACAGAGGGGGGAAGGGCAGAGAGAGACCGAGAGAGAGAATTCTAAGCAAGCTCCGTGCTGCCAGTGCAGAGCCCTATGTGGGGCTCCATCTCAAAAACCAAAATCATGACCTGAGCTGAAGTCAAAAGTCAGACATACAACTGACTGAGCCACCCAGGCATCCCCATTTATTAATTAATTTTTAAAATTCAAGTGTAATTACCCTACAGTGTTATATTGGTTTCAGGTGTACAGTATAATGATTCAACAATTCCATACATTGTTCAGTGAGCATCAAGATAAGTGTACTCATAATCCCTTTCACTGATTTCCCCATCCCCCCACCCACCTCCCTTCTTTGTATTTAGAAATCTGTTTGTTCATCTCTTTTTTTCTTTGTTTATTTTGTCTATTAAATTCCACATATGAGTAAAATCATATGGTATTTATGAGACTTGTATTTTTTATATATAATCTTATATCACAATTTTTCATAAACAGTTTAATTTGGGTTTTGTTATGATATTTAAGTATTGGATACTGGGTGAGTATGGAGATTGAAGATGATTTACTAGGTCAAAAGATTGCATAGCAACTAATAGCAAAAAGCTTATTCCTTCTTGTATTTTTCTTGCTCTGCTCACATGTGCATTAGCCACTTTTAGCTGCACTCCAGATGAGATCTCTCTATCATCTGTTTGAGCTTGAATTTGCCTGTTTGTTCCTCCATATACATGGAGCTGTTAGATAAGTTTTTGTCTTAAGCCACAATCATTACATAAGTATCCATGAGCTTAGTCTGTGAACCACAAAAGAAAAACCAGGCATGATTCCTACTCACGAGATAAGATGAATCCAGGTAAGACAGTGAATAAAACATCTTTCCAGTTATTATATGATGGCGTTATGAAAGCCAAGTCAGATATTGTAGATAATAAATAAGGAGGACATATCTGAGTTGCTTCTAGTTTGTGTTCATTGAACATATGACAATTGCTTTCTTGGTTTACCCATTTGGACTACTTATCCTATTGAGAAATGAAGGTTGAAAAGATGAGTGGCTTCATTTTACGCTGATACATTGGAAAAGAGAGCATGGGCTGTTGCGTGGCATAATAAAAATTGTGGATGGACATTTTTAAGACCAGTTAGAATGGCTGCATTAGAGAATCCAAGAAAATGTCTATCATTATCTTTACAGTGTACAAGTGACCTTTGTTCCCATGTGTGCGTAGTTACTGCAAGAGCTGCCCACAGGGCTGTGGTTGTTCACGAACAGGGTTAAGGAGGACGGTGGGTGTTAGGAAGCTAATGCTTGCAGAGGAGGTGTGTCAAGGTAGCGTTGTGAAGTTTACTGGTCACAATCCCAAATGAGGGATGAAAGAGTTACTCTTTTGTTCAGTGTTCAAGTTGGGGGTTTGCCCCGCAAGAGACAGTCAACCGCTGACTTGACTTGAACGCACTTGGAAGGAGAACTTAAACCAGTCACGATCAGGAGAAGAATGCCAGGTTTTCTGGAAACATTGCCAAAACACAACAATTTCTCAGAATTTTCAGCGGTGCCAGAGGAGTGTTTGCATTTCAATGGAAAAAGTTCTGAAAGCTCTGGAAACTATTCCCAGTTTTTTCATTAAAGGCAAAAGCCATCGCTGTGAATAAGGGACAGAAGCACTTGCTAGGGCTTTATTAAGAGTTAAGAAAAGGGGCCGCTGGGAAGTTTTAATTGTTCAATCCTTTGCCACAAAGCTGAGACAAAGGGAACCGAGTCATAATGGCAAATAGAAAAGTACTGTTAGCTTTCATACAAAAGTACTCAGTGTCTGGAGCCCAATGTCTGGAGACACTTTTCACTAGCCTGGCTCTGAAATAAAGACAGATCTTTCTAGGTTTAAAGAGATATAGGAGTGACACCATTGCAGTAACATAAAGATTCCCCTCTGAAGTACATAGTCATTCTAAGTATTTCATCTCTCACATACCACAAAAACCTGGTTAGGTAGCTTCGAGATGATAGTAGTCAAGAGAGACAACTGCCAGAAAAAAAATAATACTATTTCTAGTTGCAATTTTGAAGGATTTTAAGTAGGCTTATGGTACCAGTCAAAAGAATGAAAACTCAGTACAGCGAATAAAGTGATTTTAGGTTTAATTCTACCACAAGATTGAACGCAGCACACTATTCAGTAGAAATGTAATGCAAGCCATGTAGATAGTTAAAATTTGCTCGTGGCTACATTTAAAAAGTAAAAACAAACAGGTAAACTTAATTATAATACTGTATTTTATTTAATCTGATATGTGGGAAAATCATCACTGCCATATGAAATCAATATAAAAATTAGCACTAAAACACTTAACAGTTTTTTTCCCCCAAAGTCTCTGAATTTTGTTAAGCATTCTACATTTAGAGGCTCTCTCCATTCAGATGCTAAATTGTCATTAAAAATACATGATTGGTGTTCAGATGTCTTAAAACATAAGGTTGAAAGAACAGAGTCACAAATATACTTTAATGACGTCTATGAAATGAATGGAGTGGCAGTTGTTAATTTTAAACCAATTAAAATGAAATAAAATTCAGTTTCTCAGTTTGACTTGTTTCATTTCAGGTAGTCAATAGGCAGCATGTGATTAAGTGACTCTGGTATTTCACAGGGCAGCTCTAAGAAGTTACTCAACATTTTGTTTTGTTTCCTTTTTATTACGCTAGAAGTTTTTTTGTTTCACATATTAGCTAATCAAGTGAGTTTTTGAAAGTGGCTGATTATACCCTATTTATGTAAAGATGTGTTGGGGCTCATGCAAATGCTGTATGAGCTCTGACTTGCCTTTTGCCATAGGGGTTTGCTTCTCCATTTAAGATTGTGTGCTAATCTTGCTAGAGTTTTTCAAAGCCCTGAGCAAGCTTGACCTGTGGGGCGCAAGGAGACATTTGTGGCAGGGACTCGGGTGGAAGAGGAAGACCAGGAGATGAAGCAGGGTCAGAAGGAAGAACATTTTCCCTCCACATTCAGAAATATGAACATTATCTTCCAGGTGATATGACATGAGCACATATTCTCTGATTATTAAACTAATGATTCTTTATCATAAAAAATTAACAGCATTCAGATTAGCCTGAAAAGATAATAGAAACATCCATAATTCTACCACCCGGCGATAACTACTGGTAACACTGAACATAGTTTTCTGATATATGAACTTATGCAAACAATGGCTGCTTTCTAGGCGATTCTACAGCTCCTTAGGAGGACCTATCCTGATGGCTAGTATGGAAATATTGCTCAAGAATGAGCAATATCTCAGGCTTAAAAGGATTTACTTTTAGTTTCAATATTCAGTCTTTTCAGAGTTTAAGTTCCTATCAATGCTAGTTTAAATAGTTCCTTTCAGATGAAC